TTCGCGAGGTGCGAACCTTTCGTTTCGTTTGGATTGGATTTTCTAGAGGTTCAAGCAGCGATTGATTGTGTTTATGTGGAAATTGATGCTATTTGAGTAACTTAATTGGTGATCATTATGAATTTCGCTGTTTCATGTGCTCTGAAGCTCTGTTTGGATGCCAAGAATATGTAGGAAAAGAAAAGATTCTATGTTCTACCTATTCACTTGCTGTTTTGGATTTTGGTTTCCTGAAAAAAAAATAGAAAAAAAGAAGAAGAAGATAGAATTAAGATTTAGGGATTTGGATTTTTCCTAAATCATACAGTTTTTTCCCTGGATTTTGCCTTGTACAGTTGTAGCTCTTCAAGATTTGTACTATGCCCTGAACGGCCCACCAAGTTTTACTAAGTGTTTAACTCTGAAGCGGTTTTCTTCTGTTAGGGATGTTACCTCCAATAAAATTCTAGGTGCGAACCTTTTTCTCCTTCATATTAACACTGGTTGGTTCATTTTGTTTGTTGGTTATGGCTGCCTTTTAGGTTTTGCGAACCCAGGCTCTTGGGTTTGCCTGGAGGTAAAAGAAAAAAAAGAAAAAAAAAGGCTGGAGGAAGGAGAAGCCGAGGAAGAAGATGAGGGTATATCAGTAATTAAAAATAAAAAAATTTAGCATGTCATCAATTTTACCACGTGGATTTTTCATGTAATTTAATAAAAAAAAAAGAATGAGTGTTTCCATTAATTAACGTGCTACATCACCTAAAATTTAACGGAATAACTAAAAAGGGGTCGGATTTGTGAATAGTAAGGATCAAAAAGAAAATTTTTTTGGTACAGAGATTAAAAAAAGGCTTTTTCCTATTGTAAAGAAAAAAAAAAAGGTATTTAACCAGTTGATTATCATCTACCGAGAGAGTAATTTGGAGATTTTTGAGAAAAGAGAATTAATGGTATTCAAAAAGAAAATTTTAAATTTTATGTACTAATATTTTTTTTGACAGTAAAAAATTTTAGATTAAATTAATTAATATTTATTATTTAAAAAAATCAAACTCTTAATTAATATACATTTCATCTGTTGTCTAATAAATAACATAACTACCAAGGGGAGTGGTATATACTAACATGTTTACATAAAAACGGTATAGCCATTAGTTAGTGTTGGACAAAATGTACGTTGCTGTTGGTAACAGCTTCACCAGTAATGTGGACCCCACTCTGGGAGTGTGGTGTCCACTCTCCAGTGGACTTGACCATACTTTTTTACCACACCA